AGGGTTTTGTTAACGGCCTTGTCGACGGTTTTTCTCAGTTTTTTCTCCACTGTCGTTCCACTTCGCATCTCTATACTCAGTTTCAATCGCCATAATACCCCCTTATTGAGCCCGACTTTTGCCTTTAAAGCAAATCGCAACGCAACAACCCTTTAATTTTTTTCTGAGAGTTAGACACATTACCTCGTAATCTCCGTGCAACTTTTGTGCAGTTTGTCGAGAACTCAATTCGCTGGTTCTTTGTTTTCCCGTCATCTAAAGCTAGAGGTCAAAATCCACGACCTTCGTGGGCAAGTCCTTCACCTCACTCTTGGGAGAGCTGAAACCATAGCTGAATTGTGCATGCTGCACGACGAAGCGGCTTACTGTCGCGCACCGCCACACACGCATCACGTTTGGCTACACAATGAGTGGCGCATGTCGTTGGCCGCTTTCGTTGCTTTTAAACCCATAACTCTCTGCACAATGCGCTGATTTCTGAATCAAGTCATTTTCCAAGGCAAAAAGTTTTGTGATACGAGAACACTCAAGCGCTCAGTGGCGATAACTTCGTATAATGTATGCTATACGAAGTTATTACGTCGCTCTGTCGAATGAATGGTTTCCCATCCTAGGAGATTGTGTTTAAGCTGAGAAACAAAGCACAAACGGAAGCGACATTTCAACTGTTCCAATCTAATATTTCCCACAGCAGATAAATGCAACGCCGGGTAAGTCCGAAGTTGTGTGATGTTTGTCTGGTCAAGACCGATAAATTCATACCCTTGCCACCTTCAAAGTGGGTCGTAACGCATGCTTGTCCTGAATTTCAACTGATCTGCCCTCTTTCTTGTCACAGGAACCTCCAGAAACACTAACACCAAGTAGAAATTTCTGGAACACCAGTCTCTCAGACGGAAATCTCACAAGTTTGTGGTTGTCGCATTGGATGATATTATTATGCCGTGTACCTCTAATAATAGCAGACTTGAAAAAAGATTTTCAGTGCAGACCCGCCTGTTTGATGGACCACATCTAATTTGCTACCATATTTGTGCCTCACTCTGCAGAAACACACTTGTTGGCATAACTCAGGATTGCCCTTAATTGTGGCAAGAATACCGCGTGGAAAATTGGAACGTCCCTACCTACTTAGATCATTCCAGCTTCGCCACCGAAACCATGACATAGGTTCACGCAGATTAGGGTGCTAAACCTTACAGCTCGCAACGCATCGTGCCGACCTTGCAAACGCTTCCCATCCCACACGGAAACACTCTTGCATGGGCGATAGCTCTCAACTTCGAATGGGCCTGATCGTCCTGCGTTTGTTCCTTGTTCTTCTTGCACTTCGTCCCTTGCACTATCGTTCAGCATTCCGAGACTCCTATGAAGGATAAGGCCCTTAATTTCGGCGATTTGCAAAGATTCCTCTCAGCTTACCTTGACACACTTCTCAGGTCGCTCCTGCGCCGCTCATTCCATCAAACTGGCAAAGGCTCTCTTGTTGCCAGTTTTACTCACGGGGCTTGCGCGCCTTACTCAGCTAGGCCCAGAGAAATGGAACCAGGGTCAACCGTCACGTTGGACCGATTTCAGGATTTTTACGACCCCCCCTCTTCGAGAGTCTCCATACGACCCCCCCCCCTTATTATGTACGGTACACTGTAAGGAAAAGCTAACACTAGGGGAAGTAAGTGCAATCTACAAAATATCTAAGGACACTTGGCTTGAATTCAAACACAGTAGCAGACGAACTCTAGTTTCCTGATATCTATAATTTACTTATGCATAACATCGCAAAACGGATTGCCTTTATTAGGTGCTGAACAGTACTGCCCATTAGTTTGAATGGCGCTTTGCCTGCATTTCTTGACTTGACGTTCAGAATCACAAAAATTTCCATCGATATGCAAACGCATCAAAAGGGGATATTCACAATGATTTCAAGTTGCAAACGAATGCATGGCGCATCTCAGAGCGTGAGAGTATACAGCAGAAGTGTCCGACCGGAGCACGGTAGCGTTGCGTTCGCATTGGCGCGCGCAATCTTCCCCCTCGGCGCAGCGCGCGGTCGTCGCGGGAAAACAGACTATTGACTTTCAAATAAGCGTAATTTTGTTCAATATCAATATTTTTCAAATTGCTAAGCGGATTTGTAATCTACTTAACTGCTTGTTTCAGAGGATCACATCTATTATGCCTTATCTTCAAAAGTACGTCGGTTATGGGGTAGAAAACAAAGAATTTACAGAAATGTGCACTTCTTCATTTGAAAGGTTGTAACTTTCTTCAAAGAAGGAACTATGAGGAGCGGTAAGAAAATTTGGAAAGGTCAGACTGTTTTCTTTCTAAAAAGTGCTCTAGCTTTTGCAAAATCTCTTTCCTCCGAAAAATCGCCCCGTTGGACCGTTTTTTTTTCTCAAGACCAGGTTTTTTGGCTTTCAATTACTATAACTTTCTTCAAATTCCACCTTTTGCAATTATTGTCCCCCTGGGTTGGAAGAAGAAAGTTAGAGCTTTCCAACGTGTACTTGAACTTCCTTCAAAGTTGACGGAGTCAAAAAATCGCCCCGTTGGACCGTTGTTGGGAAATCGTGGACCGATTTTTTGGGGAGCGCAGGTTTTTTGGCTTCAAATTGTTATAACTTTCTTCAGATTGAACTTTTTGCAGTTCTTATCCCCCTGAATTGAAGCAGAAGGTTAGAGCTTTCCATTGAATACTTGAGCTCCTTCTAAAGTCGAAGGAGTCAAAGAATCGCGAGCGAATACCAGTTGGAACCCGTATCCCTTTGTATTAAGAACACGAATTTTCCGCCGCGGAAGTCTTATGACTCTTTTCCTAAGACAAAAACGCAGGTTTTCAACACTTAAACACTGATAACTGTCTTCAAACTCAATTTTATCGGGAATAATGATACCGTGACATCGCACGAGCTTTGTGCTTCATTAGAGATGCTGAACCTTTTCTAAAGAAGTTGCCGACAGGCAAATATTTTTGTTCCCAAACTTTTCTTGTAGCACTTTAGAAGTCAATCTACCATAGTGGTTACTCTTTTACTAACTTATGTCCAGTTTGAAGGCATTGGTTCACCTCTAGAATTATATTTGTGTACGTGAGCATGGATACTTTCGCAGTAGACTCTTCTGCTGGTGTGTGCGCCATGCCCTCGCTTGTGCTCAATATTTGAAGAAACACTCTGAAGTTTTACCTCTCACCTACTGCCGCGGGAACTAAGTCTTGATTCTAATCGTTCGATGGTCCCAGCAAGAGCCAACAACTGCGATCTTCATCACAACGCCCATTAAGTTCCTTATAGCGAAAACCACCTCTCGTCACCTACACCCAAAAACCTCTTCGTACTGCAACGTTGACTCCTGCGAATACGACCCCCTCCCTCTGGCGCAGCCAAATACGACCCCCCCCGTTGGACTTTGTCCAACGGACGGTTGACCCTGCTGGCACTTTGTTGTAACACCGTCACTTTCGGATGGACTACTTTTCTGTGACTGAACTTCGATGAACACTGAGATATACAGTTTTTTTGAGGACTTCTTTAGTAATGCACACTTTTTGGGAATGGGTTTTTCAGAAACGAAACACTGAAGAAGCACATGCAACGTACAACGAAATGCAGTGCACAAGTGCAAGTGTTATGTATTAATTAGTGGGCGAGTACAGCATTGACGACATTCTGAACGTGCTCTGATGTGAATGCATAGGGAACACTGATTGCTTTTCCTTTTCCTTTGACAATGTGCTCTAGGTTGACACCTAAAAAACTATAATGTAGTGCCATTTTGGTCACAAAGAATGCCATTCACTCACCGTTGAAGCCGACAGCGACGAGTGTTGCATTGGGCTCCATTATTGGTTTCAAGTGAGGTAAGCCAGCCGGGTTCAGTCTAAACTTTTGATACCTTGCCGATTTTTTAGCGGCTAACTGATCTAATTTCAGATAAAGATAGAGGTAGAATATCCAAGAACCCACTGAGCGGAGAAGAAGATCAGGCAATTCACATGGTTCTTCTTGAATTCTTTATATCTGTTGATTGCATTTAATGCCCTGCAAAGATTAGTATGGTTAATGCAATTCACATCCGCTGCGAACTTAGGTGTAGCTCAGACCTGGATCAAACGAAGTGCCAATTGAATTTTCAAATGTGACTTTCCCCCTTCCCTCCCTCTGACGACAGGCGTCACC